GTGTCGTTGGATTACCACTATAGTTGGTCATTAATGTAATGTTGGAGAAAATTTCAGGATTTTTTCCAGATGAATTCTGGAAAGCGAAAACGTGAAGATTTTCCTGCACAGTATCAAGCTGGTGGATATTTACCCCAGCAAGATGGAGCTGGAGATGCTGCACCTGAGATTTTTGAGATTGAGGTTTGTTTTCTTTCCTGCTTTTCCCCCTAGCCTTCTGACAAGATTAGTGTGGATGGTCTGATGATCATGATGTCATACCAACTTCTATTTTTCTTTAACATTCATCCATTGTATGAGTGAATTTTTTTATTTATTTGAATCTCTGGATGGGTGTCTATGTTTTGTAAAATCTAAGACTAGATTACTGGCACTTGAAAATATGAAGAAAATGTGACCTGAGACTCTTTATCCAATGAATTACAAATTATCTCATGCTTCAACTGCACTCAAATATTTAGGTGACTTGTATATTTTGGTGGGACATGGTTTTGGATGATTTAATAGGAGGAGAGTGTTAATCATGTTTTTCTCCATTGTTCTTACTCAATACAGTTGTGGTGGCAATTGTTTCAGGAAGTTAGAGCTATTTGTGTCATTCCAAAGGGTTGTTTCAAGCTTCTAAGCACCAAGTTTTAGGCTTTAGGAAAGGGGAGGAAAGCTAAAGCTTTGTGGGGCTGTTTGGTGTTGGCAGTTTTTTGGAACATTTGGTTGGAGCATAATAGAAGAGTTTTTGAGGATTATAATGGAATGGGGGTAGCAGAACTATGGGGTAGAGTAAGAGACTGGGCAGCCCTCTGGACATCAGTTTCTTTCAAATGAGTTCAGGGATTATTCTCTTATATAGTGTGGGATATGTTAGCAGCTGTAAAATGATTTTGGTTGAGGTTATGTTACCTGTAAATAGATATACTTGAGAGGTCTATTCAGTTGTTAGGATTAAAAGGTTATCTGGAGCAAGTCTGCCTCTACAGGAGCTATAAGATAAGGGGGAAATTTGATTGTTTGAGACTGTTTTGTCATTTACTATTCTTGATTTGTTCTTTCATGTCAATGGTCCCTCTGGTTTTGTATTGTTTTATAAATTAATTTGCTCAACAAATTTTTTTTAAAGGGGAAAAAAGACTTTTCTCATAAAGTATGAAATGGTTGGCTATACGAATTTTTTTGTCTTCATTTGTGCACTCATTGGAGGAGCATAAAATTTGAATGGAAAATTATCTGTGTATTTTATGAAAAGATTCCATTGGGTTTGATGACCTTGCAAGTGTTGAAAGAAAAAAATGGTTAATACTTGAAATTTGGTCAATAATGGTAACGATGAGGTAGGTTGTTCTTGTGGAATTGCTCAATTTCCGGTGAATGTTAGTGCAAGTAGGACGTGCTAAAAGTGGAAATTGATAGATAGAAAAATCATAAAGTGCTAAAAGTGGAAATAGAAATGCTAAGGAGACTCTCAAAAGTGGGACTCTCCATGGACTCTATGCCACCTCATGTTTTTGGCACAATGTTTTATAATGGTGGCACGAAAACTAACGTTAAACTGAGAGGTGTGTGAGAGTCCATGGAGAGTTGCACTTTGAGAGAGTCTCCTTAGCATTTCTTGAAAGATAGAATAATCATGAACGATTCTAATGGGAATGTACTCGAAGGACAAAAGCGTATTTTCTTCACCTTGGAAGGCCATTTCCTCATTTATATTAGATATTTGTCTCTCTGGGCTAGTTTTGTAGGTTTTGTCACAGTACCTGGTGTTTGACTTAGGAGTTGGGACTCAAATGGTCTCATATATTATGATCACTTTTATTGCAATTTTCTTGTGCAAGTGATTTCTCCTTTAGGGTCTATTAGTTTTTCCTGAAAGGTATGTTTTAGGTGTCATTTGATGTCAAAGGAATATGGTTCATCTATGTAGCTGTAAATTATGGTTGGGGTCACTGTTGTTTATTCTTTTTTGGATCAATTAAATAAAGTTAGAATTTGCAATTGTAACTAGCTAGCCATTACGCTGCAAATATTCCAGGCAGGAGGCCTGTGTGTTTTAATCTTAGGACATTGTTTAGATAAGACTATTTTCTGCACTTCACAATGGCACGTGACTGGTCATATCTTTATGTTTTTGTCGGAATAGTACACTGTTGCTGCTATTAATAGTTGTTTCTTTATCTTTATGAATTCAAGTTACTCAGAGCATGAAAAAACACTTCTAAACCAGCACGCTTTGCCTTTATTTTTATTTTTTTTTGTTATATGCTATTTAATCATTTAATGGTGATAAACTTTCAGGTCAGTGAAGGGAGCTCATCCATTGCCAGCCGTGCATGGAGTGAGATGTTAACACGTGTACGAAGTTCTACTCTCAAGATTCCTCAACTTGATGGACCAATCCCTGATCCTTATGATGAGCTTTCTACTCCCAATGTAAGAACTGTTATGAAAATTTCACACATGGCTCGAAATTGTGTGTTTATATAGTCTAAATAGCCTTCTATAATATATAATGTTAGAGTAACACATACAAGTGACCACCATTAATCTGCATGCCACTGCTGTGTTGGTTTACGGGGGTTGATTTTCCATCCTTTTGGCAAACAAAAGAGTGTTAATATAGGAATCTGCATCATATTTGTATTGCTTTTATTTTTCCGGTGGAGGTCTCTACCGTATAGCAAAAATACCTTTCTCTACCTTTTTGGTTAAGATCAAGTGTACCATATGTCCATGAGCAGTAGGTCTCGGGTTCGAGACTTGGGAGCAACCTCTCCATAAATGGGGGTAAGGCTAGCCGACATTCACCTCTCCCAGACCCTGCGTAAAGCGGGAGCCTTGTGCACTGGGTACGACCTTTTATTCTAGGGCCCACCAGGGTGACTTTCATTGGGCATTTCTAGTGTCGCCCATGCGATGCACTATTGCCTGGAGGACCCTAACTTGAAATATTGTATGGGAATAAGTCTGGTGGTTTTTTATTTTATATGTAAGTTTTCAACTTGTAGTTTACAGCCTGAAATGAGTCAACTGTGATATCAATGGTCAAGGAAAAATGGTGCAAGTCTTTAGATAGAGTACTGGGAACTTGGATTTTGTTGTCTCTTGTTTGAATTAGCTCGAGGGATTTACTTGGTTGTTCATATTTGGTTCTGGACTCTAGCCAGTCTCTCTCGGGTACTAGTAGCCAGTATCTCTTAACCATTGACTTGATGTCTAAACTCTGAAGTATAAATTTTGGATACATACATATCTTTTATTTATCCAATAAGCTGTGTTGCGTTGGCTGCGTGCTTTGAAAGTTTAAGGATGATGAACCAGCTATTTTCAATGCCCCTCTTTCTGATCTGCTCTGGATCTGTTCTTAATATTTGATAATTTTCTTTTACTTATGAACTGTTGCCTTTTCCTCCCCTTTCCCTACAGATATACAATTATCAAGGAGCTTTCAATGAAGACTACAATGTTGCCAGCACACCTGCTCCTCATGGTAATCTAGTGATAAACTTGTGAACATTGTGATTACCGTAGGAGTGGATAAGTTTTAAGTGTTGTAAATCCATCTCTGTGGTGTTGAAGCCATCTCCTCTCATCATTTTTTAACCTCCAGATATACCAGTGAGCACTCCAGCTCCGGTTGTTCAAAATGATGTTGGAGATGATGATGATGATGAACCCCCATTGAATGAAAATGATGACGATGAGTTGGATGATGTGGACCAAGGTGATGAGCTAAACACAGCACATTTGGTTTTGGCCCAGTTTGACAAGGTCTCTCTCCGCAGCATTATGACTATAATATTTAGGCTCCATATAGGTTTTTCAGTTTTATTTCTCCAATATGATTAACAATTGTCTTCTCGTGTGTTTGGTTGGGTAGGTAACACGCACCAAGAGCAGGTGGAAGTGCACATTGAAGGACGGCATTATGCACATAAACAACAAGGATATTCTCTTCAACAAGGTAAACTGTACTTTAAAGGGTTTGACGTTCTTCGTTCCTTTTGCACTTGTTATCCTCATGACCTTTCTTTTGGAATGCTGGCTCTTACAGGCGACGGGAGAATTTGAATTCTGAATTCAATGGAGAAAGCCTATTCTGGCAAACAGCGGCAGTTGCCCTAGCGAAGCAAGTCCGAGATGATATCATCGGGTGTTTCCTAATTTTTCTTTATGAATTGTTATTAAGAGAGAGGTTGAGGGGAAGAGAAAGACAATGCTAGATACTTTGTTTTTAAAGAATATGGGATGAATGTTGTTGGCCAATTGTACATACAGGATGAGCTTTTTTGGCCTTTTAAAAATGGGATTGGCTACTCGTGCGTTCCGACGTTTTATATTTTCTTTGATGGAATGCAACTGCATTAAATTGGTTTACTTACAATGCAATTCGATGGCAAGTGTCTTCGCCCATAAGTGGTAGGTCTCGGGTTCGAGACTTGGGAGCAGCCTCTCCATAAATGGGGGTAAGGCTAGCCGACATTCACCTCTCCCAGACCCTGCGTAAAGCAGGAGCCTTGTGCACTGGGTACGACTTACAATGCAATTCGATTATTATCTTCGGGAAGTACCCTGCCCCCGGTAATTTTTATGTTTCAGACTTGCTTGCAGTTGGTAACACTGCGTTTCTAACGCCATTTTTTGGTTTGAAATGCGACGTGTTTTATTTATGTTTTGGGAGCTTCGAGTCTAGAAATGTAGTTTTAGACCGAGCAAGGGGCTTGTAGGCTTGTAGCTCAAGCGTTTAATCCTGCATTCGTAGTTTTGTTCAAACTTGCATCCGTAGGAACTATTTTTCTTCTTTTTCTTCGGCTATTCTCTCTTTCGGATTTTTTTGTTCGTTCGGTTTAGGTTGACAGATGATGTTTATTTCGCCCGATCAAACACCCGAGGTTCTGAAGCTGTAACGTTGTGGTTTCTATGCTTTTATTTTCCATTTTTTGGGTGGTTTTGATAGAGTAACTTGAAATTTTTTGCAGACAAAGTGTGAGTTGGAGAAAAACGAAAAACAGTACGGAATCATGAAGTCAAATATAATCAGAAACCGTGGAGAAATGCAGGTTAATATTTGAGAATGATTTGTACTCTGTTCTACACAATGCAGCAGGCAGGCAAAGCCTCATCAAAACACAGGCCCTAATCATTAATTTTCGTCCGAAAACTCAAGGCATCAAGTTGAAATCTTTAAATGTCAGTACCGCGCTTGGTTTGCGATCATGCACTGGGTTTGAAACATGGCAAACAACGTTGAGGGATCCACAAAAGGACCCACAGCCGGGTGTTGCCACCCCCCTGCAGCAGGAAAAGGCGGTGCAATACTACTCACGTTCTGATCACCGGCTTTTTCCATCGCTACTGCCACTGGATGCGGGGATGGAATGAGTACCGGAGACAGTAATGGGATTGTCATTGTGGCGTCATCGTTTGATGAAGGGTTGGTCGAGGCAGTGCTTGCAATTTCATCAAGGTGAAGAGACGCCGGGGCACGCTGTTGTAACCTAGTTGGAGCCTTCCCTGTATCGGCTTTGACGCTGCACGCATTGTAACTCTCCATTGTTTCGGATGATTCTACGAAACTTTTTCGAAATTCTTGTTCGAAATTTCCGTAGAAATTCAGGTCTGTCTCTGTGATCAGACAGTTTGGGTTACTGTACGTAGAGGTTTATAAAGGGTAGGAAATTTAACCTAAATGATATAGATAGTAATGGTGCTTAATCATGACTAATTCTCTCTTAGCTAAAATTAAGGGTTCGGTTATGGAGGTGGACGTACGGTTGGAAAAACGGATTTTTCGTTAACGGTCATTTGCTCTGAGGCGTTGGCTTGTGCCCCAAGCTTGGTGGAGCAAATGAACCAAAGGAGATAAAGCTAGGGATATACCGTGTCGTGTCAAATTCGTGTTGATGGTTAATCAACTTACTAATCAAGGGAGATAAAAGTAAAGACGATAATTGACCAATTGTACAACGCCAAATTCGTGTTGAATAAAATTAATCTGTTTAAGAGTAGGATCTGTCAACAATAGCTGCTAGACATTATTGGTATAGACAATAGACTTGTAACTATTCCTCTAGTTAGCCATCGTTACTTTACTGTATAGCTAGCTATCATGACTTTGCTTTACTTTCCTTTTCTCCTTATTTTCGTCTTCGGTGTTTTCCTCATATAATCATCATTTGGCTTGTCCACTTTTTAGGACCAATTGTGTAGTTTTTGGCCCTCTATAAGAGAGGACTTCCCTCTTGTAAACAAATAATGAAGTATATTACAATTTCTGAGAAGATCTACTCACACGTCTCGCTGATCTTACGAACTTTGCTTCAGATACGATTGTGACATTTGCATTCTCGCCGCTGAAGGTATGCATATATGCCACCTCCCCACGTTATTTCCTCGTAATGAGGCCAATCCATTTCTTTCAAAGTTCAAGCAGGTTTTCTGATATCTCATGAGTTAAAAGTCTTTAAACTGACTGGTATAGGAGTGGTTCATTAAATTTGCTAATTCTGCAGGAGGCGCTAGGAGCAGATAACCTTTTCATCCTCTTTGATGCTATCGCCTTGTTATCTCTTATCTTCGTTGTACTGACTGTCCCCGAAACCCAAGGCTTGAGTTAGGAGGAAATAGAATCCAAACTCTCGAATGGATGCTAACCCCCTGGCCAAAACCTTCGAAGGTTCGAAGGCTTTGTGGTGGAAGAGGCAATGCCCCAAGAAATATTGAGCATTCCGGCGTCTGTTATTAAGAGGAGGACGCATGTTTTAATGCTTGGTGAACTAGCAGCTGTAGTTGGATAGATTCTTTCAACTTTTGTGATACTAGAAACTCCCAACGCAACTTCAGTTTGAGCTTTTATGGATACCACATTTCAACTGAGAATAATAATCTTACAACATTTTGAAGTCAGTCTCAAGCATAGCTACTGTCCGGAGAAATAATGTGATGCAGACATTGCAAACTCCATACTTTACACGGGAGGAATAAAAGCGTTTTATGCCAACTAAAAGTGTTTCCGACTGTGTTTGACAGACAAACTTGAGTGTTTCTAAGTTCTTGAAATGCTTTTTAGAGAAGCAAGGTGCTTCTTTAGGAAAATTTTCCAACTACATTTTTAGAATGAACTTGGAAGGCGCTTATGAGAAGAAGTGCCTCTTACAAAAGCAATCTGAAACCCAAAAATCACAAGACGTCTCAAATCACTGTGAATACAATGAAGAGTTTGTACAATCAATAGCAATGAAGGATTGTTAGACATTACTTTTGTGTAAGAGAAATTACTTTCGTGTAAGAGAAACACATTGTCACATGCATATGTTTTAGACGGAAGAGAGTGGTTATTGCATACACATTTTCTCCTCTTGCATACTCTTATATATATCTAACCTTTAAATTGAATAAATAAATTAAAAAAACTGATGAACAAAAATAAACAAAAATGTGCAGAAGAAGAAAAATAGTGTGCGGAAATCATTTTCCATTTAAAACTCTAATACCTCTCATTTTGTATGGTTCAACATCAATGACGTGAAGTTTGCTTGACTCTTCCATGTGAGTACACTCTCAATGTTTTAACTTAATAGTGCATTATTTTTCAAGACAAAGGGTCCCAAAACCCAATCCACTTTCAGAGGTGAAGAAGCAAAGCTTAAATCTGATCCTCAACTGTTGTGTATTTTGTCATTTTTGTAAAGTAGGATGAAGCCAAGTAGGATTATCCTATTTTGTCCACAGAGAGCCACGTGTCACTCAGCCAATCCCCATTGTGTGGCCTTCTGGATTTCTACAACCACACATGTTTTCATCAGACTTTGGTCTCACCTTATATGCACCTATCACTACACTATCTGCAGCTTTATTGCATTAATCTGTAGTCGCAGCTCCTCAGTCTCAGGATACCACTTTGATCCATGGCCGCCATGCACACAGTCTCGAGCGTCGGAACCGTTAACCGGACGCCAGTACGTTGTTTTCCCGCCAGATTCTATTTAATTTTTTTGAGTTTCTGTGTCGCTTAATTTTTACATTCAAAACAGTTCTTCATGTAGTGATTTTACATTATTAGTTTCTATTTTATGTACTTATCCGCTTGCTTTTGTCTGCTAATTCTCGTTTGATTTAAGGGAACTAATAAAAACGGTTTGAAAACTTTAAGTTTTAATGATAAAGACAAAATAAAGGATAAAGTGAATAGTACCAGGATTGACTTTTTAGTGTAAAAATATGATTTTTCGATAAAATAAACAATACTGGAAGCTTTTCGTTAAAGTTCTTTTGATTTGTCCACTATGACTAAAACCGAGGGTTAAGTATAAAGAACTGTACAGAAATAACTTCCCATATCCATATTGTTTTTCTTTATACTATTCCAAAATACCAAAAAGGTTACTTTTATTTGTCCGTGTGATGCATCAAACTCAAGTGTCTTTAAATGAGAGGCGATTTCCATACAACTTTTTTCTTCTTGCAAATTTATGTTTAGTTCTAGTCTCTTTGACTGAAGAATCGCGAGACTTAAATGAACCGGGTGTATAGAAGGTGAAAAAAATTGCACGAGATCATCTCTCTTTTTCACTAACTATTATATTTTTTACAAGGGTTTTGCTCCAAGGTTAATCTAAATGCAAAGAAATGAAGTTTGTGATTCTGTTTTGATGAATTTCCGAGTTTCTTGGTTCTAAAGTTATGTTATATATATTCGATCCAGGTGAGCTTGATCAGCTCTGGTTCCGGAAGCTCGGCCTTCTTGGGCACCAGTTTGAAGAAAGTGACCTCAAGAGTCCCCTACCAGAAGGTAGCATCTGCAGGCAACTTAAAAATTAATGCGGAAATCGACGAGAACAAGCAAACCAACCAGGACAGATGGAAAGGCCTTGCCTACGACACTTCCGATGACCAACAAGACATAACAAGAGGAAAAGGTTTGGTTGATTCTGTGTTCCAAGCTCCCCAGGGAAGTGGAACTCACTTTGCTGTCATGAGCTCATACGAATACATCAGCACCGGACTTCGAGAGTAAGCGAGAAAATGTTGAAAATAAATCCTTTTTGTTTCCTGGATGCTTGGAGGTTGAATTTGTTTTGTGATAAGGTTTTGATTTGTGTTTCAGATACAACTTTGACAACAACATGGATGGGTTTTACATCGCTCCGGCTTTCATGGACAAGCTTGTGGTTCACATAACCAAAAACTTCATGAGCCTGCCTAACATTAAGGTACGAATAACGCTACAAACACAAAAAAATAAATCTAGAAACTTCGGTTTTTAATTGATATGACACTGTTTCATTTGCTCGTATTTGACAGATCTCGAAGCTTATTTAATTCTAACGAGTAAAAAGTAAGATATTATCATGTTATCCGCCATATGCAATTCACAAGGTGACTAAAATTCGAGAATAGTTTTGTTGCTTCTAGTAGTATTATCATCAACTTAACTTTCTCATGTTGGTTCTAACTAGTAAGAAATGAGATATTATCATGTCATCTGCCATGCCATTTGCGGGGTTACGAAATTAGATGAACTTTTGTTTCTTTCAAGTAGTATAATTAGCTTAACTTTCGCAGTTAAAAGTTGTTCTTCGATTGTTGGTTTTTGTTTTGGTAGAATTCTTTGATTGTTGGTTTGGACAGCTGAGATGATTTCATTTGAATCTGTATCAGATTCCTCTCATTCTTGGTATATGGGGAGGAAAAGGTCAGGGAAAATCCTTCCAGTGTGAGCTTGTGTTTGCCAAGATGGGAATTACGTGAGTTCGTAAACTTTACGAAAGTTTTTTTTTTTTAATGAAGAATCACATAAAAATGAAGTAATATTTTCAATTCATTTTGTTTTAATTACACCTTGTGATCATATTTCAGCCCCATCATGATGAGTGCTGGAGAATTAGAAAGCGGGAACGCAGGAGAGCCCGCGAAACTGATCAGGCAAAGGTACCGTGAGGCTGCAGACATCATCAGGAAAGGAAAAATGTGTGCCCTCTTCATCAATGATCTCGATGCAGGTGCCGGTAGGATGGGTGGAACCACACAGTACACTGTGAACAACCAGATGGTGAATGCTACCCTCATGAACATTGCTGATAACCCGACAAACGTGCAGCTTCCTGGTATGTACAACAAGGAAGAGAATCCTAGAGTCCCCATTATAGTCACTGGTAACGATTTCTCCACATTGTATGCCCCTCTCATTCGTGACGGTCGTATGGAGAAGTTCTACTGGGCTCCCACTAGGGAAGACCGGATCGGTGTTTGCACAGGAATCTTCAAGCCTGACAATGTGTCCCATGAAGATGTTGTCAAGATTGTTGACACATTCCCAGGTCAATCCATTGGTAAGTATACTGTTGTTGTAGTAATTTTGCATATAATTTATATTTCTTGAATAGTATATCTGTTAGAGATGTGATCAGTAAATGTGATACAAAATAACATTACTCGGTTAACAAATAAATGTGATACATAGCATTGCTTGGTTAAAGATTGGTTAAAAAAAGATCATGCTAACTTCTTGTATCGCATACTGCAGATTTCTTCGGTGCTCTGAGGGCTCGAGTTTACGATGATGAAGTGAGGAAGTGGGTATCGGGTGTTGGTATCAACGGCATTGGGAAGAAGCTTGTGAACTCGAAAGAAGGTCCCCCGACTTTCGAGCAACCTAAGA